TTCATTAATACAAAGTATACCAATAAACTAATAGGCCTTTTGAAAATCCACAAAAACTTTTATTCTAAATCAGTATTATTCTCTGACTGTAGCTTTAAGAGGCAGTGTCCAACAATACTGATGTGGATTATATAGTAACACTTCTGAAGGAAACTACTTTTATTGGAGTTAAGTGTTTTTGGTTTTAATGAACTGCTTTTAACCTAAGACAGCATTACCCAGTTTAACAGTTTACCTTAACTGTCAATATAGTTTTCAAAAAGACTTACTTTATGTATAGGAGTGTTTGCATGTATGTATGTATGTGCACCACATGCATGTCTGGTGCTGCAGAGGCCAGAAAAAGATATTGGATCCCCCTAGAATGGAGTTACAGTCATAAGCCACCACGTGGGTGCTGGGAACCGAACTTGGGTCTTCTACAAGAGCAACCAGTATTCTTAACATCTGAGCCATCTTTCTAGCTCCATTTTTCTTTTTTTAAGTTACACATTGTTTATAATATTGCAGACTGAAAACAGGTCAAATTGTTATCAATAGAGAACCAGTCAAACAAAATATAGTACCTACATATGATCTTTGGAGATGTAAAAAGAGCAGTGAACCAGCAAAAGGGCTGGGGGGTAAAGTTACTTGCTGACAAGTTTGAAAACTGGAATTTTAGCTTTAAACCCACAGATTGGGAGAGAACAAGCTCCAACAAGTTGTCTGCTGACCTCCACATAGTACAGTGTGCACACATGCGTATGCACACATGCACACACACACACACACACACACACACAAAATATGCTCGTAAAAATATTTTTAAAAGAGTAAGTTTTTTGCATCTCTCAGATAAACTAAGAATAATAAACTATATCCTGATTAAATAAATGAAGGAGACACAGATGTTTAACTTGGTTGCTTATGAAGGTGTAATGAGACCAGGGCAGATGAGGACCTGAAGAGAGAGTGCAAGTTTATATCTGTGCTCGCAAGTGTATCCATGGCAAGAGATTCTGTTGGATATTCTGTAGCTAAATCTCATCCCCAACCCAGACAGACACAAACAGCAAAATCTGGGGGTTTTAAAATATATTAAAACTAGAAACAACATACCAATAACTACTCACTCACTAATGCCAACTATGAGTTAGACCAAGAAAACATCAGGCCCACAGCTTGGTGAAACTATTTTATAGACAGTACTTTCCATGTAATTCCCTTAAATAATTATGCTCAAATATAAATATCCTGACTATAGAAGAGAATTTTAAAAAATAAGTTTGGAAATAAAGTCAGTTTGCTTAAATTATTTCTAGAACTATTAAATGGATCAGTGGGTAAGGCTGGCTTGCTGCTTCCTGATGACCTGAGTTCCATCCCGGGACCCACATGTAGGAGAGAATCAACTTCCCCAAGTTGTCCTTTGAAATCCACATGTGCATCATGGCACACTTATGTACACAAATAAAAATTTAAGCAAGCAAGAAATATTAGAAGCACTAAGTAGCTTTATGGCACAATAACTAAAGTACCTAATTATACAACTATATCAATTGCTGACTTAATGAATAGCACTGGACTAAAAGGTTTTTGCTAGTATCTCTTACCTCTACAACCAACACGACATGGGTTAATACTGCTTAGAAAATGTCTACTTTTGCCTATAATCAAAATAAAAAAGACTGCAAAAATAAGAGACCAAGTGTATTGAACTTCTACATTTATTCTTTAACAATCTGTTCTTCTAAATATTGGACATAAATAATTATTTACCATTTTGAATAAAAACAGTATAGAAGGGGACTGAAGAGATAATTCAATGGTTAAGAGCACTTGCTGATCTTGCAGAGGATCCACATTTGGTTTCCAGCACCCACATGGTGGCTCACAAACATCTGGAACTCTAGTTCCAAGGCATCTGATACCCTCTTCTGACCTCCATGGACACCAGGCGGGTACTCAGTACACAGGCATGCACTCACACACAGGTAAAACACTCATAAACATTAAGTAAAAATAGTATGGAGACATATTCTTAATCTTCAAATACAAAAGGTGCAAATACAAAAGATGTTTTAGGGCATTAAAAATCAGTGGACAACAGCTAATGATATGCTGAGTATCACTGTGGTCAGAAATACTCATAGTACTATTGTCATTTGTTGTGGGATATTTGTACACTGCATAAAGATGTATTTCTGTGATTGGTGTAATAAAAAGCTATGCAGCCAATAGCTAAGCAGGAGAGATAGGTGGGACTTCCAGGCAGATGGAGGAAACTCTAGATGAATCTAGGCATGTGAGAGATGCCAGCCAGACTTGAATGAGTTAGACACACAAAATGGGATAGAGGTAAAAGCCACATGATAGAACATAGATTAATAAAAATATGGGTTAATTTATTAGTTAGTTGAAATGAGCCTAAGCTAAAGACCAAACTTCCATAATTAATAATAAGTCTCCTTGTTGTTATTTGTGAGCTGGTGGCCCAAAGAAAAATCTGCCTACAAACATTTTAATTAATTAGTTAATTCAAACAGAATCATGTAGTGAAGCCCAGCCTCCAATTCAGTATGTAGCTAGCCAAGAATGGCTTTGAGCCTCTGATCCTTCTGCCTCTCTCTACCACCCAAGTGAGATAGGATGACAGAAGTGTGCTACCACATCTAGTAATTGTGGTGCTAAAAATCAAACGCAGAGCTTTTGAAATGTGAAGGCAGCAGTCTTGCAAGTGAGCTATATCTCCATCCCCACTTAAGAAAGAAAATGAAGAGATAATCAGTCTTCTAACAAACATATTAAACCACAACAACTCTAGCCTGGCCTGGTGCTGCGGGCCTGCCGCCCTCACTATTGTCGAGAAGTTCAGGGCCAGCCTGGGCAAACTAGTGAGACCTTGTCTCAAAAAGTAAAAAGAGGTAGAGAGAAACTTCTTAAGAGAGCATGTCAATCCTGTAGACTTTCTATAAAAAGAAACAGAAAAAGATCCAGGCAAAATAATTACTCAAATAAGAGAAAAACATCTCTACTAGCTATGAAATGGCAGCCATTCTTATCCTTTTAAACACATAATGATTAAAGGATACTGACTAGCAAATGAAAATAAATTACCTGAAAGATGTCATGCTACAGAAATTTTAACTGTTAGTAAAAGGAGTATAACAGTTTCCACTACTTGACATATGACTGGGAATCTAGAATGGTATCTGTATGAGAAGAGCTATTTTACACAATGCTTGAGGAAGAAAAAAAAATCAAAATTTCATTTAATTTTGCAATAGTGTAAAATCTTAATTCTGTTAAGGTTTTTTTTTTTAAGTTAAAAACAATTCCATATTCAACTTTATTATATGGTATACATGTCGTAGGCTTTGAAATGCTGGGAAACCGCCAAGTACACACACTGTATGTCTAATTAAAAAACTTCCAAAGCCAGGTGGTGTGATGCATGTATGCCTTTACTTCCAACACCTGGGAAGCAGAGTGCCAAGCAAGCCATGGCTAAATTGTGAGACCCTGTCTCAAAACAAAACAAGAAAACTTCCACAAACTAGTAAAGTCTAATACAGTATTTTGTAAGAGTCTCATCTTCATTCCTATGTTTTTTTTTCAAGTTAATCCTAGTGCTAATATTCACTCATTTAAAAATTCATGTATTTAACAGACTATTATCAGGAAAGGAGATAAGTAAAAAGATTTAAAAAGAAAAACCACTACACACTAAAATTACAAACATTCAAAAGAAACATTTGACAATTTAAAAACTACCTGTAATAGAAATACAAACAAGAGAGAAAAGTTTAGTTATCACAAGTAATGTATTAATGAACTGTGGGGATCTGCTTACAACTGCCTTGTGTGTGAAAAAACTAATACAACAAAATGCTACATTTAAACAATTACTAAAACATCTACTATGACTCTCCAGCATTTCACTTTTCCTTTTGCAAAATATGCCTTTCTGTAAAATGCAAAAATAAAAAAAAAAACTTGGAAATGATTTACGGATTCACCCACACAAAGAAGTCACACAGTAACTCAAAGCCAAGATATTCAGGCTTTGAGAATGTGGTACTTAAAAGATGAACCAAACTTCTCAAAGCATCTACTCCACAACTTTACCAAAATGCAACATCACCGTAATTCCTAAGAACCAAACAAAACGCTTCTCAATTAAGAAACAAAATTGATAATAATATGGGGATCAAGAGCATTTTTTCTTAGTTCTCCCACAGGTGTGCCTTTTTTTTTTTGACTATCAACGTAAAACAAGGGTCTAGTTTAAAAACCTGTAGACTCATTCACAAATTAAACCTTAAATTAAAAAGAAGTCATCAAACTAGGCAAGTTTGTTTACTTCTTTGCTGTTGATGATTCAAACACTGATGCTGGGAAATTTCTTAAATCCAGGAAAAAAGCCATTGGTTCCAATTCCCTTAACCCTTACCTCTCCCCAGCCCAACCAAACAAAAAGCAAACCCTTCATTCTCAGCTTGTCAGATTTTTTTGGAAAACCGAACAAGCAGTTTAACTTCTTTCCCCCGCTCCTATTCTTGCTCTGGGACCCAAACTGACCCTGGACGAGACTCCTAAGCTGTTTTCGGGAGACTCCCGAGTTTCGCAGTCAGGTCTGGGAGCAGGATGGACCCCCTTAGTTTTCGCTCTCCTAGCATCTGGCACCGACTCAGGTCTAGTGTGAAGAAAAGGCGGACCCGTGGGGGCCCGGACCTCAGCGCCGGGCTCTGGTGGCTCGGCGGCGGGCATGGAGGCACCGAGCACCGGCCGCGGCCGGCCTCCCGTGCTATCTCCGGACCCCGCGGCCTAGGCGGACCGCCGCCCCCCTCCCTCTCTTCCCAGGCCCGACAGGCCCGCGGCGCCCGGCGAGGAGGGAACCCCGTCACCGTGCAGGGCGGAACGGGGCCGGCGCGCCCCGGGGGGAAGCCGCAGCTGCTCGGTCTCGGCCCCGTCGCCACACCCCACTTGCAGCCCCGAGCCCGCTCCCTGCGCCTCACCAGGTCGTAGTCCTCCTCATCATCGCACATGAAATCATCCTCCATGTCAGACATCTTGGCCGGAGGGAGGGAGGAGAAACTAGAGACAGCCTCCTCCCACAGTCCTCTGCGGCCCAGAAGCGTCACTCCCGGTTCTCCTCGCCTTCCGGTCTCTCCTAGAGAAGATATGCGCATCCCGGAACCAAAGAGCTCGACCTTGAGACGATTTACTACGGCGTCCAAAGGGAGCGCACAGCTCGCTTTTCCGGCGCGACAGTTGGTGTCTTAGCAACTAAGCGTAGCCTCTGGGAAATCGGGCGCTTCGGGTCCTATTTGAGGGGTTTCGGAAACCTTCTAACAGAGTCCAGCGTCCTAGGTGAGGGAACTGTCTCTTTCCTTGCCTGGGACTCTGGAACAGTTCTTTCTAATGAAATATGCCCGTCCTATATGACAGGTAGCGTGCCTTTGTCATTGTTTTCTATGTGTTTTTAATCCAGACCTTGCGGTGGGTATATTTACAGCAACACAGTTTTCACGTAATGTTATATTTGTAGTTGGCAAAGAAAAAAAAAAAAGGTCTGTGGCTATCCCAATTTAGGTATGCATTATTCAGTTATTTAATTATTTAACGAATCACAAGCGGATCAAATTGAAGTAGCAGTTGATGACAGGTTTTAAACAAATGCGTTGTACAAAACCATTAGAGTTCAGAATGAAGAAAAAAGTTAAACTAAGGCAAACCCTGTTTTTTTTTTTTTTTTTTTTTTGGCGTAACCTTCCAAATTCTGTACACTTCATTTCACAAATGCTGTATAGCTATAAATAATAGTTATAATCTTCGGATTTCGGCCAAATTGTGTATCTATACAGGTCAGTTAAACATGCCCAAATCTCCAGAGGTAAAAAACTTTCTATCTTCATCTGGTACAGATGATGTTGAGCACAGATCAGCCTTAACACTCACACCATCCTGTTGAATCCTTAAAGACCCAGCTTGGCTGTGTGTGCTCCAGTGACTTCCGGAGTTGCTCCTGATATTACCAGTTTTTATCTGAATCCATTGGGGAACAGGATCATTTTGTTTTTGTTTCTAGGCCAGGAACAACTTGGTTCCGAAAACCTTGTAAGAAGATACATGGAGAAATAGTCAGGCATGACAATGTATGTGTTTTCTATGTTAAAATACTTCGAACAAGGTTTATTGTTATATGTACAAAATGTTACAAAAAATAAGTCTTCAAACAATTTTGCTTTGAATATCATTAACATTGCCTCCCCCCTTGTACTTTTTGAACTGAGGAGAAAACAGCCTTGTGAGTGTTAGGTAAATGCCCTATTGGTAAGCTACCCCTCTTGCCTGACACTTATTTGTTTCTTAGGAAAATATTACAAGAGGGAATTTCAGATAGTTTAAAAAAGTAGTCATTCAAAGTAACATCTTTTTGGTCATAGTTTTTTTTTTAAACAATAATATCACCTTACCTGTAACCACATAGTTTTACTAATATCCTTTTCCTCTCAATATTATATTATGAGAAATTTCAAATTTAAAATACATTTCAAAAGATAGGATTGTGGACAAAAATATACCAACTATTGGCCTTAATGTTGTGTATTTCCTGGGTCAACTGAAAGATGCATATAAAACAACACATTACTCTTTTGTACAGCTATGTGCATTTCCTAAAATTGAGAACATTCTCTTATTCAAACATAGCATAATCATTACAAAGTAGACTGATAATCCTCTGAAAGCATTTAATTTTCAGTCTTTGTTCAAAATTCCTCTACTGAGTATAAAGGTTTAGTTTTGGAATGACCTTTAATGATACCATCTTAGAAACAAAACCATTCCAAAAATACTGTACGAATCTGTACATGTAATTTTAAAACAAAGCAAAGCTTTCCAATAAGTGTGATGACTGACTGTACATCCCAGTTTATTGTGACAGGTCAGGCTTAGGTACTTCTGATTAGCATAGTAATTAATAACACTCACTACTGTCAGAATGTAGCACAATAAATCACTCTACCCATGCTATACTTTTTCCAAATCACAAGGTAGTTAATTGTTTTATTCATGCATAATTTTTAAATACAAAATGGTAGGGCTGTGATTATTTACCGTGCCAGTATGGCATGCTGATTTACAGTGAATTTATCTGCATAATTTGCATTTTTTAATAGTAATGCCTTACTCATATAATGAGAAAAGGCTTGAGTAATCTGGTACCTAGAAACACAAAGAAAATGGCAACTAAAATTTGAGCCTTGTATTTCTTTGGTGACACCCAAGTTTATTAAACCCAGTCTTGATAAGAACAATTATTAGAGATCAATTTTGTTCAGTAGTAGTAAATAATTGATAATTTTTTTAACAGGTTGCTCATGTCTAAAGTAGATGTTATATTGTAAAAGTATTTTAAAATATTTTTATTTTATTTTATTATTAAGGATTTAGTTTTTTATTATTTTAAATTATGTGTATGTCTGCACATGAGTGTGTGCAGATGTCAGAGGTGAAGTTACAGGTGCCTCTTGACATGGACACTGGAACCCAAACTCAGGTCCTCTCCAAGAGCAGCATGTGCTCTTAATCACAGAGACTTTTCTCTGTGTAGTTAATTTTGTGCTTATGTATGATGTATATGCATATGAATGTGTTTGCTATGTTTGTATGGGGCATTTGTGTGGGGTCAAAGGGTAACCTTGCTATCTGTTGTCTGCTCCCACCCTTACATGTTTCCAGGACTGAACTCTGGTGGTCAGGCTTTTGAGGCAAGATCCTTTATCCACTGACCATCTCACTGGTCCCCAAATATTTTTAAAACATCATTTATTGAGGTATAATTAACTGTGTTATGGTAAGTTAAGCTGCATAAACTTAACTTATCAAACAATTTGATAAATTTTGCCAAATATTTATACCTGTGAAATGATTATTATAATAACTTAATGAGCTTATTAAACTAAAGATGTTTCTTTATAGATTTCTTTCTGAAATTCTTTTCGGATGATCTTATCTTCTTCCTCTTATGTTTTTCTTAGGCCACCAGTGATCTATTATTTGACATTGTAGATGAGTTTACAGTTTCATCAACTTTATATGTAAATTGAAATAAACACGATGCATTCTTATTTATCTGACTTTTTTTTTATCCATGTTGTTGCTTGCATCAGTTGGTTGTTTGGATTTATTGCTGTGTATTCTGTTTTGGATATCCCATAATTATCTCCCTGCTAATGGATATGTGAGGTTTTTCAACTCATGGTTAGTATAAATAAAATGGCTATGAACTTTTGTGTGCAGGTTGTTATGTGAGCATATTTCATTTCTCCTGAATAATGTGATAGACTGATTCCAAGATGGCCTGTCATCCATGCTATTTAATAATTCTTTGCCCTTTGGGTGTGGCTTATGACTTGCTCTTAATCAAAATGATGGAGAGAAGTTGATAGACAATTATATGGACATTATTACATTAAACTAGATCAAGTCTGTCCTGGCAGCAGACATTGTGTCCTGTGGTTTCTTCAAGAAGCGCAGGTGTTGAGCCTCTTTAAAATAGAAGAGCCATCTAAGGCATATCCTGACTTTTGAGTGACAGAAAGTGTGAGACAATAAGTATGTATTGTTACATATTACCAAATTTGTGGAAATGAAGTTGTGAAGCAGTGGACACAAATAAATGTACATATGATGGTTGGGTCATACCAGAGGTGTACATTCAACTTTGTAAGAAACTCTCAAACTGTTTTCCTGGATAGTTTTAGCATTTAGCTTATCTAGTGGCAATGGATGAGAGTCCTAGTTGTCTATCTTGCCACCATTTAGTATGAGCTAGCCTATTTCAATTTTAGCTTCTCCGTTAAGAGCATTGAGCATTTTATTGGCTTTGATTTGCACTTCCTTAAGGCAGATGCTTTGTGTGTGTGTCTCAGTTCTGTAACTATATTTAACATTTAGCAGTTAATTTTTCAAGTACATTGACTGTCCATAAAGTTTTGAATGTGACAACAATGATGTAAGTTACCAAAGTTACTCATCCTCATTACACTTTCTGGACAAATGGATATGGATATGATATGGAACATTTCTTATTCCTCTGGTCCTAATAGCTTTATTGAAACTGGCATCAATGCACACGTTTGGAGTTCCCTTCTCCTTCATGGGAAATTCCTGGGTTTCTTTCTTGAAACCCACTCTATGGATGTATTTGTCCCTGTATTCTCAGGTCACCTTCTCGTTGATGGCGTGTCCCCTCTTGTCACCACCCTTCTTTGTAGGAGACATCCTTCCAGGCCTAAGTTGGAAGGATTCCATGCATTTATTTGGTGAAAAACCTCTTCAATTTTTTTTTACAAGGTTGTTTATCTTATTACTCTTGCATGCTGAGGATTCTTTTTACTTTTTTGTGCTGTGTCGAAGAAAGCTTTGCTACACTTTAGGACACCGATTGCTGATTAGTTTAAGAGAAGTATATAAGAGCCAGCTGGTAAGCTATCTTCCTGGGACAGATGCCTGCTGCCAAGCTTGATGACCTGAGTTCAATTGCTGGGACTCACAGGTGCAAGGAAAGAACTGACATCCATAAGTTGTTCTATGGCCTGCAGAGTCTTCATTAGTACATTGTTCTAAACCTAATGTCCCTCTCATTAGAAAGAGTCAAGAGACATTTTGCATACATTTTAGACAGGGAAGAGCTAGCTGAAAGCCAACAATCCAAGGACTCATGCATTTATTCTCTCTGCATGTGACTGCAGACATAATGCTTTCTGTTACAGCCTTGACTTCCCTGTGCAATTATAAGCCAAATAAACCTTTCCTTCCCTGTACTGTTTTTGGTCAGGGCATTTTTTATCAACAGCAACAGAAAAGTCATGCAGTACCCACGAGCAACGTGACCTTAGATGTGTAGCTTTACCTCTCAGCCATTAATCCTGTTGTATTGAAAACCAATCTGCCAGGCACTGTGCCAAGTGCTGAGGACGCCGCTCCTGCCCTCAAGTTGCGTACATGCAATTGGTAGAGATGGTGAGGCAGCAATTAGACAGACAATAAATTCATGAGAATAAATATGCAGGGCAGCTTTTTACAGTTCAGAACAGTAATGGGGTAAATGTGGAGTTGGTATGCTTGTGATAGGGTCTCTGGGAGTTCCCTAGGCAACAGAAAAATGAGGGGTGAGCTGGATACTGAATGAAAACATGAGGACATGACTGCTCCTAGGTGTGGGTTGAGAAGGTTCATTGTAGATTTGAGGGAGAAAACAGCCA